CAATTGGAATTTCAACATGATATCATAGTTAATATTCTAAAGAGATTGAGATTGAACCGGTAGATAGATTTTGAGCCAAAATAAAAAAGCTACATGATTCGAGACCGTCCAAGAAAACATTAATAAAGATTAATCTCGTTCAATATAGAGGCATCCATGATATCATAGTTAAAGAAAGCATTCATCATCATCAATGAACTGATACATACCTTGTACAAGCCAAAGTGGGAAACACTCATCGATTCTCCTCAAGATTGACTTATTGAAATCCTTCGACCGTGTATATAGGGAAGTCATCCTCGAAACCTTCAACTTTATGATTTTTTTCTAAAAGTTTATCAATTAGATCGAGACCTGTCTGACCTCTTCTATTTTTTCTCGTCTTATAAATAATTGTCAATCTGATTCATTTGAGAGTTCTAAACATATCAGACAATGTGATCCTATTTCTCCCTATCTTTTTACCATTATCCATATCTCAATGATTCTTGAGGATCTTAGGAACATGAATTTGATTACTCCTTTCTTCTTTAGGGGTACTAAAATTTTACACCTTATGTTCGCCAATAATATTATCCTTATAAATGTAGTAATAACCTCATTAAGGCCCTTAACTTTTATACATTCTACTCCAATTTAAAGGTTAACAAAACCAAATTTATCATATACTTACTAAAGAACTATGACCTTTAAAGTAAACACAAAATTTATAACCTCTTTGACATGAAGAAATGATAGAATCCTCATGTCCTTTTAAGACATTCAGTAAGGTTACGAGCAAGATTCAAAGTTGAAAGAAAAAACCTTCTCTCCCAAGTTAGGAAGGTTGTTCTCAGTAACACAATGGTGAATGCCATTCCACTCCATCGTTTGATGAACTCCTATATTGCTGAAAGCATCGTAAATCAAATTGAAAAGATGACTAGAGATTATTTATTGGGAACGGAGGAAATAGTTGTGAATTTCTCAGTTAGAATTAAAATACTAGCTCTACTAAGGCATTAGGAGGCTTGGTTTGCATAAATATCATCCTAGCAAAAGAGCCCTCCCCATCCTCAACAGATCCAATTATCTTTGGGTTAAAGTCCGGGAACATTGAACCTTGGAGCCCCAAAAACACCCTCTTTGTTTGCTGGTCCTGGAGATAAATCTCCAATACCATCAAGTGTCTTCTTGGGGTGCTGAGGAAATTTATGAGGAATATAGACCTAACCAATGCTTGGCAAGACCCTTGGATCACTACCACACCCTTCGATAGATAGCTCGTTTTCTTTAGCATCAATGAAAAGACGAGACATGGCAAGGTTTCAGACTTTATTAGCAACGGTCAGCACAAAAGATCAGTTCTAGCAATTATTTTTCATAATGTAATTGAACAAATAAGACATTCGTGTCCCCTTCTGCCTCAAGGAAGATCAAATGGATTTGGATCCCCCACTCTCAAAGGGGATGTTGATCCAAAGTGTTTGTTCTTTTCTAAAGGTTAAGAGGGATCTATCTCGAAATAAAAAGGCTGGCTGGAAGGAACTATCAAGTTTATCAGTAGTTCCTAAAGTCAAAAATTTTCTTATACAAGTTCATTTCGGTAGACTTCCCACCTCAGCTTTGTTCTCTAGATTCTCCAACTCCAATACCTCTCCACGTGTTATTTGTAGATAACCCGTTGATTTCTTTTATCACATCTTCTTCTAATACCTTTGCTATTAGTTATCGACTTCTTGTATAGAGTAAGATTAGTACGCAGTTCTTCTATTTTCAATCTTTCAATCTTGGCATCTTGGAGACTGAATGTTTGAGGGTCATAATCTTGACAAAGTGCATAGAAAAATCCTCCGAAATCTAATCGGTAATTCTCTAAGAATCTTGTAAAAGATCACTGCAACAATTATTGAAGGCAGTGGAGGGTGACGTTGGACACCCAATTCTTGATACACTTGTTGCTTCTCGGCTGTGTTTGGAATGTGATGCGTCGTTTACGTTGTTGCTGATCACTGTAGGCCTAGGCTTCATCCTAAAACACAAGACGGCCAGAATACTTAAAAAAGCTGGATGCACCCCTTCTTCTGCAAAAAATGTTCTCCGAGCTGAGTGCAAAGCTACGCTGGAGGATCTCATTTTCATGTGGCACTATTAGAATTTTTTTAGTCAAATGTCTGAGAAAATATTACTTACACTCGATGGGAAAAGGCCTCTGCGCAGTCAGTCAATAGCACTAAGGAGCTACAGCATTATGTTTTATCAAATCAAGTAATATCAAGTTTAATGTCAGACCTGAAACAAGGCAAGTGTTGTTTGATTAAGAAAAAAAATTACATGATCGAATGTAAAAATAGGCTACAATGAGTTCCAGATCATCAGGAGATTCATTAATTCTCATTTTAAACATCATTTGCTCAATGATTTGAGTTGCCAAACAACGTATTATAACTAGAAATATAGAAAATGTTTCATCAATTGAAAATCACCAGATTAAGATCAAGATACTAATCTACGTGACACACTATACACTTGTCATCAAAATCTAAAAACATGATAACCATTAAAAAAAAAGAGAGAGAACCTTGCAACGACAATGTTCATGCATTTTATGTTATACTTGGCATCCGGAGAATCAGAAAATGATTTACATTTCTTTCATTGTTCCGATGTTCGACAATATATAGTTTGTTTTTTCTCATTTCATAATTGTTGAACAAAGGTTCTTGAGTTCCTGCCAAGTCATGACAGTATCCAAACTCATGTTCTGAGGAATTACAAGTGGGAAAAATATACAATTTTCCCATTACATTACTGCACACTAATGACTTCATTCATAATAACAAGGGTGGTTGTCATTGAGTTCTAACGAAAGATTTTAAATCATCATACATACCCTCTTTTGCTGTTTCTTGTGAGGCCTAAGAAATTACATTCATGTGAAGAGCGCATCAAAATCTCATGCCTTCATAACATATCATCAAAAGGAAGTGTTTTAGCTGCACAAATGCATGATGGAACCATAATTCGCTTTCAGATTCTACTTATAAATTTTTAGAAAATCAAGGAAGTCTTATGTGATTATTTGTATTAATGTTTCAAAGATGTAAGAAACATAAATTAATGTCATATTTTTTTTCTGTTAGAAGATATTTATGTGTAAGGAGATATTAAAAAAGTGGATTAAAAGAATAGTTTCACATTAGTAAACATTTAGAAAATCAAATGATATATATTTAAGTCCAGCTCATAATTTAATAACTTCAGTTTTTAGAATGAATTGAGATCAAAAGATAAATGATTAAAAATAAGAAAGAGAGTCATAAACAAAAAGAATGAGTCAAAAAAATAAATGATCAAAAAAATAAGGATGATTACAAAAAAAAAAAAAGAGCAAAAGACATTTGAACGATGATAACTAGATAAAGTTGGACACACCACCTAGTTTTAGAGTAAAGGGGCAAACAATTTATATCTTTAAGAATGAGGAGATAATTGAGTCATACATAAATAAATGAAAGAATATTAAAATACATTCACATGAGAGGAGATATTAAAAAAAATTAAAAGAAGTCTTACACTGATAAATATCGAGAGAGTATATAGTTTGAGTATAACCTATTATCTAATAGCTTTAGCTTATCACTAACATAATAAACACTGAGCCAACCTAATGACCAGAACTTTTATGTATAATGTGGCTCAATTTAAAGGCTCAGTTAGTTGTGTTGTAATCCAATGCATACTCTGTACCAAACACACACCTAAAAGGAAACGTCAACTGCGAATAGAGTCAGCAACACATAGACAGGTGACACATAACACATAACTCTGTTCACTTCTTTTAGATTGTTCTAATGTTTTTAATATTGTTGGTTCAGATTCAGTGTGTGTGCTAATTTTCTTCGAAAGCTACAAATTAAGTTCATGTTACTTTTCCTTTGTTGAACAAAGAGGGCATTATAGGAGCCTTGTTCTTGGCCATCTCCAAAATAAAACGTGTACGTACGCTTCTAAGTGAGCATGAGGTTATGTTTATGCCAAAAATTACTACATAATTACGACTTCCTATTTGTCATAATAAACATTAATCTCCTTTCATCCTTACATAGATATATAGGACTTCAAAGTGAGACTCTTGACATCTAAAAGATTCTAATAAAATAGTTATGAAAGAATTAATTAAATAACTTTAGATACCGTAGAACTTTCCATGTCGCACGTAGCTTTTCCAAGGAAACAATGAAATAAATTCTTTGTTATGTAGACACTAATCTTCTGAATGATCTTCGTTTTCTTCTGCATGTATAAGCACATACTATGTATCATTGCAAGACTGGAGATATCTGCATAACAGTATATAAGAAGGAAGTCATTTTTCGCATATATTATGAGATACCTGTTATTTGCAGTACAAGAACTTAAATGTCTTATTCTAATTCCAAGAGGAACAACTCTGTGGATTCATGTATTTAATAGATCTTAATTGGGCTAAAAAATAACATATACTGATATCACCTACAACAATAAAGAATTCATAGCAAGGATTAATCAACAGAGCTAGACCTGTCATATTATATTATCAAAATTGATTATGAGCACCTTTTTTTTTCTTATGAACTAATTCATATTCTCTACGTCATAAATTTAAGCAGTTAAAAAGGTATATATGCATGCCCAAATGACTAGGGAATTTGTTTTGAGGAACTGATATCTGCAAGATACTTGAACTAAACATATACAAGGTAAAAGATGTTAATCTTCAATAAAAACGTATATAGTTCAGTCAAATATAATTGCAATACTTACTGTGGGCATGCAGCCTTGCCTTTCTTTTCTGGAGCAACAGGCATGTGGAATGTAGAGATAAGTCAACTAGTGAATTGGCACTTGAGACACATAAAGGACAAGTAATACACTGACACACTCCGATAAAAAGCAATACGGTCAACAGTAGAGGATATACTTGTTAGTCTCCCGAGGTATGAGACATGAAGAAATGACTACAAAGGCATTGAAATTAAGTTAATACAATCACAGATTCTGATAGAGACCACGAATTAACATTGATATGGTTGCACGCAATGATGCATAAATAACCAACCTATGAACTCGTAAATGAATAGTTGCATGTGCAGATGAGTTACTGGGATCTTTAGAAGAGGATAAAGAGTTCTAAGAACTGTAGTTCTATGATAGAAATACACGGTAGGAAAAACTCCACATGTTTAGTCAACACATGGTTATAAGGAGGAAATTTAAAAAGCCGATAATGATTCGCATCCAACAAAATCTCTATGATACAATCAATTAGACATGTAAGGTTATTCTTGCCATCGGAGTTGCATAAGACAAGAAAAATTTTAACTATTCTCCATTCGTCAACTTTTGCATTTATTTTATCTTTGTTGTAATCTTGTTTTGTTTGTGAGTAGTAGTAAGAACAACAATAGACCAGTCAAACCCTAAAATTTGGACAAGCAACACCAAAAACATCTTAGTAGAACTAAGAATACATACAGTGCCAGCAGCCAGTGTCTTTGGTGTGTGCTTATCAGTACAGCGACAACTCGTCAATTCATTTGCCAAAAGAGCAAAGCTGACCCATCTTCTATCTGCCCATAAATGAAGTGGAGGAAGCTAAGGATACTTGTTTTCATTGAAGTTCTCAGCTATACATTCCTTAGTTTTAAGAAAAAGAAAGTAAGAAAATATTTGCAGCTATACATTCCTGTCATATGTTAGTCATAATGCATGGATGGGGTAACATACAGGAGCAGGCAGAGAAGACAAAAAAGTGATACTGATAAGCGGAAGATAATAAATGGATGGAGAAGGATCCGGATCTGACCTCCATTGCTCCGGAACTCTGCCCATTTTAGTTGAAGCTGAGAAAACCTGGCTTAATTAGAAAGAAGAACATTAATCAACAAGTTCATCAGAGCTTAAAGCAGAAGCACTGAGCCAAGCATGGATTTTAGAATCCTAGGCAGGCTTATCAGCCTTTTATGTTTTCGGTATATGTACAAATGGAAAAAGAAGACTATGAGGAGGAAAAAGAGGTTTGATTTGGATGCTCCTTCTGTTCTTTCAATTTCTTAAAAGTAGGAAAGAAGAACCTACAAAACTGTGGCCAACTTAGTCTTCCAGTGTCCTTCCCAGTTGATCCGTAAGGCAATGGCAATAACCTTTCTTGTACCCTCCAACTTCCTCATAAGTCGAGATCCGACGGCGAATGCTGCTCCTTGATCATCGACGAGGACGGAACCAATGTGTCCTGCTGCAGCGGGAGTGAGAGGAGGGGGAGCGCGGAATCTTGTTGCGACTGTAGCAAGATCGATGATGTAACACCGCGGACGCCGCCATCGTCTTCTGCGTCGGGGCACACGAGGTTCACCCCGAACAGCCTGACGTGCCTGGCCGTGGCATGGCTGTGGGCGACGGGCACCGGATCAAGAACCATCGACAGGCCACCACCGCCACCAGGTTGCACCTCGATCGGCGGCCGACCGGTGACTGGAGGTGGGAAGTAAAGAAACTGCCCTTCCAAAGCAGTCATGCTTGCGATATTGTAGCCGTAACCCTGGCCGTGGTGGCCGTACACCGTCGTCGTCGCAGGTAGCATGTAGAGGTGTCCGCCCGTTGGTCCGACCGACCTCGCAAAGGTTACTCCAGGGAGAGGGATTCGTGGCACTGGGATTGGGTCAAGTCTCTCAGGCCGCCGCTTCCAGTCAATGTAAAGCCGGTCGCGTCCGGACTCGCCGACACCGCGGCCAAACGAGACGGTGTCCCCGGCGGCTAGCCGCTTCTCCTTGACGAAGCGGCTCCACCCCTTGGTCATCACGAAGCTCTGGCTGCTGTTCCAGTAGGAGTACCGGAAGCGCCACGAGTTGCCGTTGCGGTCCTCGAAGCTGAGCAACAGCCCTCTCTGGGTGGCCGACGCGTCCAGCGGGAAGTACCTCTCGGCGTGCTGCTTGGGGATAACCAGCCGGTTCAGCTTGCCGACGTCGCTCGGCGTCACCACCTTGTCGAACATGTGCTCCTTCTCTACCAAATCGTCATCGCCGCTGCCAGATGAGCCATCGCTCCACCTGAAAGGAGCAGAGGACGAGGACTGCGACAAGGAGGAGGAGGAAGGCGCAAAAGGAGCATGTTTCCAGTGTTTTCTGCGAGTCAACTCCATCTGCGGATATCTTCTAGTCCCAAGCTCTCCCCCAAGAGCCAAAGCCACAACCACTAGCAACAGGAGGACTAATATCGCCTCCTGATCATCTGAGTTCTTTCCTGCTTGTATTATTATTGACGATCGATAGAAAGAATCAAAGAGTCGGTCGGTGACTTCAGATGTAGGCTTCTTGGGATGATTGATGATGAGTCGTTCCTGTGTGCTGGCTCGGTACTGTGCTCCATCTCTTTGTCGACTAGATAGAGAGAGGAGTTCAGTCCTGATGAGCCATGGCGAGCTACAGGGAAAGGGATAGCAGTAAAGTTGGCACAGTATCAGTACCTTTACAAAGGAGGGAGACGACTCCTACATTGATCTGGCTGGGTTCATGTGGGCTTGTCCCTTTCTTCACAGGAGGTTGGTAGGTATCCATACATAGAGGGTGACTCGATGAAATCCACTACATCTGGCTAGTCGTTCAAAGAAACAAAGACCCTGAGCCTCATCTCCGGTGCCTCAAGAATATTCACTCATGAATCATATCTCAAGGATTTATGCGATTTATGCTTGATTTATGCTTTCGATAGTTAATGTCTTTTGTATTTGTTATAGTACAAATAACATAATACTGTTATAATATTAAAAACAAGAGGATTGATAAGAATATTTATAAGATATTACCAAGTGCACACACTCTCTATATATTTGCTTTATGAACTATGGTCCTATTTATAGGACCTAGTGATAACCATTCTATAACTACTAGATCATGATTGAGGTAGTTATTGAAACCACCTTATAACTACTAGATCATGATTGAGGTGATTATTGAAATCATCTTGTAACTATTAAATCATGATAACTATGTAGATAGATAAATCAAATCTCAACACTCCCCCTTGATTCATAATTGCATACACCGATTTGTGACATAAAATAAACATGTTTTTGAATTGGAAACGATTTGGTGAGGATATCCGTAACTTATTCATTTGTTCCACAATACTTCACTGTTATGGCTCCACATGCTATAAGATCTCGGATGAAATGATACCGTATCTCTATATGCTTCGTTCTTCCATGAAACGTTGAATTCTTTGTCATTACAATTATGGCTTTATTGTCACAAAATATTTCCGTTGCTTCTTTTTGTTTTTGATGAAGATCTTCAAGAAGTCTTTTAAGCCATATTGTTTGACAAGCTGCTGATGTTGTAGCGACATATTCTGCTTCCGATGTCGACAACGCAGTTGTTGCTTGCTTTTTAGAACTCTAAGATATAGCTCCCGATCCGAGGCTAAAAACATTGTCTAACGTACTCTTTCGATCATCTAAAGCTCTTGCCCGATCACTATCAATGAAACCAGATAATTTACAATTAAAATTATGAGAATATCAAATACCATAATCCGTAGTTCCAGCAATATAACGTAGAATTCTTTTAACAGCTCCGAGATGATGTTTGCTTGGCCTATGCATAAACCTGGATACTACACCAATAGAGAATGCAATATCTGGTCGAGTATGAGTTAGATAAATCAAACCTCCAACCAAACTTTTGTAGTATCTTGCGTTTGTCAGACTTGTACCATTTTCAAGTTTCAATTTCTCATTTACATTCATGGGTGTTGTTGCAGCTTTGCAATTAATCATGTTAGACTTTTTGAGTAGATCCATTACATACTTTCTTTGTGAAATAAAAATTTCATCTGATCCTTGCTTCATTCCAACCCAAGAAAATAGTGCAATAGACCTAGATCTAACATTTCAAACTTATTCATCATGCATTTTTTAAATTCTGTCACAAAAGAGTTAGATGAACCCATATATATAATATCATCAACATAGAGGCAAATCATTAGAATATTATATTCACCTTCCTTCTTTTGATAAAGAGTAGATTCATTATTGCTCCTCTTAAATCCATTTTGATGAAAATAAGAATCAATTTTACTATACCATGCCCTTGGAGCTTGTTTAAGCCCATAAAGAGCTTTTCTTAACTTGTACACCTTTTCTTCATGTCCTTTAACCAAAAAACCTTTAGGTTGAGCAACAAAAACCTCTTCATGTAAATCTCCATTTAAAAACACAGATTTCATATCAAATTGATAAACAGGCCAACTTAAGTGAGCAACTAAAGCCAAGAAAGTTCTTATGGTTTTGAATATAGCAATGGGAGAAAAAGTTTCATCAAAATCAATACTTTATTGCTGTGAATATCCTTTTGCTACAAGCCGAGCCTTATGCTTTTGGATACTTCCATCTACATTAAATTTTATTTTGAACCCCTATTTTAACCCAATTGCTTTCTTTTCTTTCGGTAGATCCATTAACTCCCAAGTTTCATTCTTCTCAATTGACTTGATTTCCTCCTTCATTGCTTTTCTTCATTTCTTTTTTTTAACTGCTTCCTCAAAAGTTGTTGGATCTGAAATAAATAAAGCAAATGTTGAGTTATAAATTTCTGTTAGTGATCTGAAATTTTTTGAAGTTTCATCTGAAGAATCATAATTTAGCTGTTATTGGGTAAGGTTGACGATGAACTTGTTGGAGCAGGATCTGTCATTTGATTATGCGGAGTGTCTAGTTCTATTGGAATCTGCATTTGTGTTCCACCTTTATTGATCTCCTAATTCCAACTTGCCCTTTCATCAAACATAATATTTCTGTTAATAATAACTTTGCCACTAATATATAATCGATATGCTTTCGATCGTAAGGAATAACCAATTAAGATGCATTTTTCAGATTTTTCATCAAGCTTGTGATGATTATGTGAATTCACCAAAGCATAAGCATTACAACAAAAAATTCTTAGATGTCTAACACTTGGTTTCATACCATACCAAGCCTCAAAAGGAGTTTGATTCATAACAGCCTTTGTTGGTGAAATATTCAATAAATAAACTGCTGTTGCAACTACTTTTGCCCAAAACTGATTTGGAAGATGTTTTCCTTTAAGCAAACTTCTTGTCATTTTAACGATAGTCTGATTCTTATGCTCAGCTACACCATTTTGCTCTGGTGTATATGATGCTGTTAATTCTATGTGAATATCATTTTCTTCACAGAAAGAATTAAACTCATTAGATAAAAATTCACCACCTCTATTTGTCCGATAACTTTATATATCTACCACTTTGCCTTTCTACAAGTGCCTTGAATTTTCAAAAATTATCAAATGTTTCAGATTTCAATTTCAAAAAATATACCTAACTCATACGACTATAATCATCAGTAAACAATAAAAAATATTGACTTTCACCAAATGATTTTGTATTCATAGGTCCACATAAGTCAGCATGAATTAATTCAAGACAATTAGATGCTCTCCATGCTTTTCTAATAGGAAATAGTTTTTTATTTTATTTGCCATAAATGCATCCTTCACATACATCAAGTGTATTAATCTTAGGTAATCCGAAAACCATTCCTTTTTGAATTAACAACCTTAAACCCTTAATGTTAAGGTGTCCATATCTTAAATGTCATAAACTAGACTCATTCTTTTGAGTTGTGATAAGCGCATATCTTTCAATATTTGACACATTAAGTGGAAACATCTTATTTTATGTCATGTAAATATTTATTATAATCAAACCAGATTTTTTATCTTTAATAGTGCAGGAACCATCATCAAATATTACTGAATATTCATCATCTATCAATTGTCCAACACTCAACAAGTTATGTGATAAAGTAGAAACAAAGAAAATATTATCAAGGTATTTTACCTTCTCTTGATTTGTTTTTACCTCAATTGTTCCTTTCCCTTCCACTTGGATTTGCTTGCTATCTCCAAGTCTAACTTTCAACTTGTGAGTTTCATCAATATCTCTAAATATTGATTTTATGCCTGACATATGATTAGAACATCTACTATCCAGAAACCAAATATCATTTGAGATATCATGAACTTGTGAATGAGTCATAATCAACTTACTATTTTCTTCATTTTCCTCCACATAACTTGATTGCTTTTCTCTTTTCCAGTAATCTCTACCTTCATGTGACCAAAGTTTTTACAATAGTGACATTGAATTCCACTCTTGTAATTTCTTTGATTATAATTTGATTGCCTTTGTTCATCATGCCCATCTTGTAACTTCATTGAATTCCACTCTTTCTCTTCCTCTTCCATTTCCTCTACTACGAAATCCTCCTCTGTCACGTCCTCTTCCTACTGATTTTTTATCTTCTTTTGAAGTAGAAGACTTTCCCTTAACTTGGAATATTTTTTCTTCACTTTTTTTAAGTGGCCTGTTCAACCTTACTTCATGTACTTGCAAAGAACCCATTAGTTCATCAAATGAATAAGTAGATAAATCGTTTGACTCCTCAATTGCGGTAATTACATGATCAAATTTCGGAGTTAAACTTCTCAAAACTTTTGCAACAATTATATGATCAGGAAGATGTTCACCATAAGATTTCATTTGACTAACAATTTCAGTCACTCGAGAAAGAAAATCTTGCACCGATTCATTGCTTTTTATGAACAAAATTTTAAACTCACGGCGGAGGGTTTGAAGTTTTACCGTAATCACCCTTGATGAGCCTTGATATTCATTTTGAAGTATCAACCAAGCTTACTTTCAGGTTGTCGCTGCTACAATTCTTGAGAAGATCGTCTCATGTACAGCTTGTTGAATGAAGAACAATGCCTTTGAGTCCTTTTTATTCTCCCTCAATCTGATTTCGTCATCTGGATCTGCATATTCATTCTCTATTAAGTCCCAAAGATCTTGAGACTTGAATAGAGTCTTCATCTTGATACTCCAAAATTCATAGCTTTTGCTCGAGAAGATGAGGATAAGGGGTTGAGACATGGAATTGCCATTGAAAACCATAATGCCCAGTTTAGATTGAAACTAGGCTCTGATACCACAAATGTTGGGGATGGAGGAGCAAGGAAAATAACAGAATACTTTTATAGTATTAAAAACAGGAGGATTGACAAGAACACTTGCAAGATATTACCAAGTACACACACTCTCTATATCCTTGCTTCATGAACTATGATCTTATTTATAGGACCTAGTGATAATCACCCTATAACTACTAGATCATGATTGAGGTAGTTATTGAAATCACCTTATAACTACTAGATCATGATTGAGGTGATTATTGAAATCATCCTGTAACCACTAAATCATGATAACTATCTAGATAGATAACTATGAATCAAATGTCAACAGTGCAGTATACAACAATGATGATAAGGACGGTCATGGTTTTCGACCTGAGAATGATTTTGACTTAGGAAAGCAGCATGTTGTACTAATGTGGCCTACATTAGGGCAAGAGAGGAAGGGGAAAAGATTATAAGGGTGGTAGTAGCTAGTATTTCTAAGATCTCATTAGATATTGTACTGTAGATTTGCCAAACTT